TATATATATATATATATATTAACTGAGCCAACCCTGGTAGAAGAGAGTAACTAAACTGTTTGTAGCTGAACTGAATAATGCCCAGCCATCTGCACTAATAGATGCATCTACTTAGCTGAGGAAGAAGATTGTGGCCAAACTCAAGACAGCCACACAACCGAGGGCATGACTTCCTCTTTCTCACCACAGGAAATGCTTGCAAATGTGAATATACCTGTACTCAACATCCCCACTACCAGTATCACTAAAAGCAATGATCTCATATATGCCACTGTCACAGAAATATTTGGGTACAAAAATTACAAATACATATAGAGAAGGGAGATCTGGAATGATGTTTGTGCACTAACAAAAGTCCAGAAGGTTTTGTGAGAGACAGACAAGAGCTCTCTAGGGTGTACTCTCAGCTACAAAGGAACCATACTATGATGGCAGACACAGAGCAATCCTGGAAGACAATCTTAGAGAATGAGATGGCACAGAGCACCAACACCAAGTGGATGGTGCACCTAAGAGCAGACCACAGCAATCTTCCAGACACAACCCCCTCTCTTACATGGATGATATTAAGGTATATGCTGGGAGAGAGCGAGACTTCATTGATGCACCTCACCAGGCTCTACAGTGAGAACATCAGGCTGTTAAATGAACTGGAATAACATCCCAATGTGGAGAAAGAGACTTTATTGGAGGCTTTGCAAAGGTGCCTTGGAGACAGTCCAGTACATAATACCAAGATGGAAGATGGAAGCTGGAACAACATAAACCGAGAGACACTACCAAGTGGCTGGGATAGCGTACAGGAACATCTGTGCCACATATGGATTAGAACTCCCCAATTCCCGATGGGAGACACCACTGAAGATAGTTGAGAACAAAAAGGCTAAGGTCCTGTGGGATTTTGAGTTCCAGAAAGACAAGCAGCTGCTGGCCAACCAACCAGACATAGTGGTGGTTGAAAAGGAGCAGAAGATGTAGCAGCCCCGGCAGACAGCAACATCACAAAGAAGAAGCACAAGGAAATAGAGAAGGGGCAGGGGCTGAGGGAACAACTGGAGCAAAAGTGGAGGTCAAAAGTGGAGCTTTAGGAGCTGTAAACCAGAGAGTGGCTTCAGCAGATTCCAGGCACAACATCAGAGATCTCTATTTAAAAGAGTGCAGTCCTGGGAAAAGCTAAGATACTTCACACAACCCTCAAATTCCCGGGACACCAAGTTTGAGTAACATGCACACATACCGTCCCGCCATACA